GATATTCTACGGTATTAGTCCTATTCCTAGACTTTAAGAAAGCCTTTGATAAGGTTCCACACAAAAGGCTACTCGTCAAACTAAAGTCCTTCGGAATACACAACCCACTGTACTCATGGTTTGCTTCGTTCTTAACAGAACGTAAACAGATGGTAAAGTACAATGACTGTTTCTCATCCCCTAGACCAATCACCAGTGGAGTCATCCAGGGAAGCGTATTAGGGCCACTTTTGTTTCTTATGTATATAAACGATATATGTAACACCATAGAATTTGGGAAACCGTACTTATATGCTGATGATCTCAAAATAGTATACAGCTATAAGCCTGAGACACTAAGCGAAAGTGTATCCCAGATACAAAAGGACCTCAATAACTTAACTATATGGAGTGAAAAATGGCAATTACCATTTAACCTCAACAAGTGCGGGATCATGCACTTTGGAAAGCATCCCTATAAACCGCGACTTCACTTAAATGAATGTATAGTCCAAACACTCGAATCAGTACACGATTTAGGAATTAACTTCACAGGAAGCCTAAACTTTGAAGAACATGCCTCCTCTATTATTTCTAAATCTAGACGGCTAATTGGTTTTATAATGAAAAACTTTTTCACAACAGAGGGTAAACTTACTCTCTACAAAATATGTGTACGACCCACCCTTGAATACTGCTCTTTTGTCTTCTCTAATATGAATATCGCAAACAAGATAAGAGTGGAAGATGTTCAAAGACGTTTCACACGTCAACTACTAGGATGTAACTCGAATATCGATTACACAGACAGATGTAAGCATCTATCTTTAGAACCTTTATGGCACCGTAGGCTAAAACACAATTTAATATTTCTCTACAAAGCGATATATGGGCTCTCCTTTCTAAACTCCTGCCCGACTATCACCCACGACCCAGCCTATAGACTTAGAAACAACGCATATAAACTACTTACCGTAAAACACCAAAAACAAATGCGTTGTAAGTTCTTTACAGTACGGTACAGTTTATTGTGGAACAGGCTGCCAATGCCTATCCGTAACTGTGATACGTTCACCAGATTCGAAAAGCTAATAACCCTATTTCTAGGCTCCAAAGAGCTTCAACATTACCTTGAACTCCCGCCCACCGATGAGGCACTTTATTACGGACCGCCTAGTATCTAGAAAGAACAAAATTATAACAAGTTCGACTGTTACTAATCTGAATATAACCAAATCACAAGATATATGGCTTATCCTTTCCTATTATTCATTGTTTATTAATCATGATTTCATGCTCCTAACCCTAGCTTTCAGTCCCCAAATCTCTACAGGTTAAATGTACATTATTCTTCCTAAAAGTCATACTTTTTTTTTCTACTGCAAGTAGACAGATAGCTCAATCTTATGGATGCTGATCTACCAAGGCCGATCATTCAAAGCTCAAAATTTGGCCACAAAGTCTTGTGAGTTTCTCAATGTTTTATTTTTCTCACCCTAAAATCTTTTTTTTCTACAATTTTATACCCTCTCACATCTTTTGATTTACTATTAATCCTTACTTCTTTAAACGATTAGTTATTTTCATAGCAGTGTGATATACTATATGGACATCTAACCCATAAAACAGAATTTTTAAATATCTGATTTGCTTGTAACACGGACCTAGTAGAGACAGTGTATTCCAACTATATGCTTTGATTAAAGGATTAATCATACTTACCACAAACGTAAGAGAGCCTAATATCACAAAAGGAGGGAGGGTGGCGTTACTGACCAGCAAATATGAAGGTGGGGAGATAACTTCAATCCACCCATGTCTGTAGGGCAGAACATTTTGTTTAATTACGGCTCCTTATGGTTTAGTGGGATGTCACGGACTTAAGGTATTGAAGCTGATTTATCACGCAAAATACCTCTTTAAACCGTGTTACGAACGTTGAATTGGTTTCACTTCCTACTCAGAAATCCTATTACAAACAAACTAGACAATTCGCTAATATACGAAGCCTACTCATGACCCTATAAAACCTGAAAAAAAACAAATAAAAAAACGAAAGGGGCTCTAATAGCTTCGATAATAAAAGAGAGATAGCCAGTTGTATATCACAATACTGTTTCTAGCACTATATTTTATTTTATAATCACACATAATCTTATACTCTCAGCTCTTTTCCGAATCGCTTCCATTTGTCAGTTGTATGTCCACTCACACCTTGCTAAAGCTTATTTTCTTTAACATATTAAAATGCTCTTTCTTAACAAATACCTTAATAAAAGAAAATTAGACTGAGTTATCATACCTTAAACATTCCTACATGAATATTGGCTACTCTGTCTCTCGTGTTTTCTTTTACTTGCTCCCTCTTTCAGCCCCCTTGAGATATGGAACAGGTTACTTCATCCTGCACCATCCTTAAAGCCTTGGATATCCCAAAGGGACATAAGGTTGTGATTTCTAGAAGCTCATACCTTCAATGGATCTATTCTTGACCATCAGTTGCACATTCGCAACACAACTCTCGTGAAGCGCGCCAACTATAGTACTGATTAAAACAATCTACATTCATGTCTTATAAATTTTCAACCCAGCTATGTAATTTAATACAGTGTATATTGTATCATTTGTATCAATTTGATCTTGCCTGTAAACTGGCATGCCTAATGTAACAAACTGTTATTTGAGAATAAATTATTAATATTATTATTATTAAAATTCTAAAAAAAGTCCTTGAAATTCAAGAAAATATTGACCTAACAAGCGACATGAATGGACAAGAATGGTGGGTATCCCGGACACCGGCTACAAATAACAAACTCCTCATCCCTCTCCCGGATAGCGGCTGCCACATCAAGTCTACACCTAAGAGTTTATCACTCTTTATGAACCTGTACAATGTTCAGTAAGATTGTCTACCACCACGAGTAATCTACTTGGAGTCATCCATAGAAAGCCCACTGATGACATCGAGTACGAAAATCGTATTCCGGAGGGCGTATCCTGTGTTATTTGTCTCCAATGCACTCGTATTCTGATTTTAGGGGAATTCGAAATTCCTAAAGTCGACTTCGCTGAACTTACGTACATTGCATGTTAAATTCTAGTGAACCCAGCTCTTCTAATTCATCGAAGATCTTGGCTTATTCAAAGATATCAAATGGAAAAGTAGTCACACGTCATCACGCTTAAACTGCCTAATTACAAACGAAGAATTCCTAATTAAAAACCCCTCAATCTTGGCCTGAGTAAAATTGGTCATAGCTTCCCAGCAACAACAAGCGTTAGAATTTCAAACGGTTGGTTGTGTTGGCTTTACAAGACAACCCACAGCAGATGGGCTGGGAAGTCCAATTTCAGCTTGATGCTACAAAGCAGTCTCTTTCGCACACGTTCCCGAAAAACAAGAAGCAACTTACAGTCATCGAGATTCGCAGTCTTCGTTTAATAAATCACAAAAAGGCATCATTAGGCAGAATACAAACGACGTGGTGATAACAGTGAGTACAGGCAATTCAAATAAGCAAACACCCAATGCATAAAAACAATATGAGAATACAGGCTTCTGTACTAGGTAAGGCTAACTGATAAATTTGTGTTTAATCAGAAAACGTATTTCGTCATAAGGCCTCTCTTCGACAAGCCGAAACCGGATTTTTTCAACCACTAGATCCTAATAGCCCGGCCGGCAACGACAATAACGCCACCGACCTTTCACCAGAACGGTACGTTCAAATATTTCAAACGGTAGCACCTAAACAAATACAATTCACGTGCCTTTTTGTTGTTCATTCTCTCATACTACGGGAAATAACTCGAATTGTACCAAAACCACATAGCATGATGTTTTCACATTCACCAAGCCGATACATAAAACATCAATTTTCAAATTAAGTTGACTTGTGAACCTTCAAGCTACCGAGGGCTGGCATTTCGTTCCACACCCTCAAACGTTACGGAGTCCTTGAGATGTGACGGTTCACATGACTATTAATTACCCATAAACTTCTCTTCACCCTGACACCACGCTTTCAGAAGGGGTCACCTCTGACTGCGGTGAACCGATGGACAACCAACCCGAGTCGCAACGGAAAGGTTGACGTCATCAGGGTACACGCGTCTTAGAGGTAACCTAACGGATTATAGTATTTCAAACAGTTCCGGATATCCCCCTTGATAGCTACTTAGGCTTCGTCTGAACACAAACCTTAGAGGTTACACCCAGAAACTGGAGACACAATACAGCAGAATGGAAGGCAGAAACATCTTTTACTCCTTATGAGTAGTCTAATCTTTTAATAAGCTGTCGACCAAGCTAGTCCAAGAGTTCTATCTGGAGTTTTTTTAGAGAAAACATGACATGTTCTCAAAGACAAATTTCAGTACTTATCTATGATTTACTCATTCGTTTTTTTCTTTCAATATACCCAGGTTCTTACTTGGAGGCATCGATTGTACACTGCTAACTGATATACAAACCCGCTGAGCAAAATCCTCCTCAATTCCTTTCACAACTACTTGAAACAACTGAAAAGGATTCTTGATCAGTCGCTTAAAATCGGGATGACTGAGATTTTTCACAATCCTGAAGTGAAGCGAATGAAGTGACAATTGAGTTCAAAGACCTACGGAACTATTTATTGCAATGATACATCAACTGCGACAACTTGAAATGTTCATCCCCAGCGAAACGTCATATCAGATATTTTTGTTTCTCAAGTTCAGTACATGAACTATACTTATGAAAATTTTAAAAATCTACAACGCTTCAGGCGCAGATCTAAAGAAACGCTCATTTTACCGTTCATATTTAAAAATTTCTTTTCATTGTGGTGATATTCGAATACTGGTGTCACTTAAACTTCAGTGTTGGGTCTCTATTTATGAAATGTTTCAAACTTTGTGATGTCAATTAACTAAATTATCCAAATTTTAAAAGTGCTTGCTAACGAAGTGACGTACTTTTTTTCTAATTTGTTTTGGTCAATAACCAAGCTGTCGCTAACCACTCGCTCAAGAGCGCGATGACTGAAATTTTTCACTATCCAGAAGAAAAGGTTTTCAAGGCATTTGTATGGTCGAAGACATTTGTTTTCCATGTGATCACCGTGGTCTTTCTCTTCCTTGCACCAATTATAATCCTTTGTAACCTGAAATGTGAGAAGTTTGATAAATATTTCCGAACCTTGTTGTGTAGATATTTGGATAGATTTCAAATATATTCCTGTCAATATGGGTCCATGTTTCCCTGAAATAAGTCAGTCATTTGCTTGGATTTATACTGCTGATGATCAAAATCAAATCAACTCCAATTTCTGGTCTGGAATGGATGTAACTTGGAACACTTTTGGAAATGAATTTATTAGTATTGAAGACCACTTCCTATCTGGATCAATAAACTACTTCAGCTATGAAGATCCTGTTCCATGGCCATCAAAAGATGTCGGGAAACTAGACTATAAGGCAACTGAGATTTCGATCGATATATTTAATGTTACCAGTCTCAAAATAATCGGCAAGCGTCTTTTTATCCCGATAACTTGTGGTTTACGAGTAAGTTATTCATATTATCAATTTTTCTCTTTTACTTGAGAATCAAGAGGCGCTTCATATGCATCGGTGTTTTAGTAGTCGTTTAAAATATACTGGCAGAATCTTGTAAAATTCTGATGTTTTTGATTTTGAACCTGAAACCTATTGTTATCAAGCCAAGTGCTCTAACAACTTTGTCATCGATTTATATGTCGAATCAAAAATTGGTGGGCTAACAATAAGTTGCTCTATGAACTGACCCGTCCTTCTTACATGAGACTCTACTTTTCACCTGGCAGTTTCACATCCAGATGGTGTTTGTATTATACTCGGTTACGAATAATTACACTTTGTATGTCCTACATTTTTACCACTCACGTTTCATAGCTGTTAAGTATAACATTGTGGATGGATTAGCGACAGATTTTTATTCGAATAAGCTTTCAGATTCTCACCTTCAGAATAATTAATGAGTGTCTCCCATTTATACATGCTCCTTATGTTGGCTAAGGAACCTTGCGAGCCAAATGAAATGATAGTCGGTATTACTTTAAGTTGGCGAAACGGCATCGACACGAAACGTACTGTGGTAGCTATGGACGAAACCGATTGTATTTAATCTTAAGGAATAAGACAAATTGCGCAAAACTTTAGTAAATTTATACAAACACTATACTAACACATCAGCAGACCCCATGTAACTTTTCAAAAAGATGAATTGATTTCCACTTCGAGTGATTTCATTCTTTATTGATATGAAACATTATCCTAAAATTGGAAAATTCAAGCCAGATGCTCAGTTTCATATAATCGTTTCTGTACAGTTTACACGTTAGTGTTTTCATTAGGTATTGAAGATGCCACAGGTATTGGGAGTTTGACAACGCTTTAACCGGTAACACCTTCTACTATGAATCGTACCCACCAAGTGAAATCGAAAGTCAGAAGCGAGAAGGTACGAAGATAATATTTGATAAGCTATCAAAATATTGAGGATAGACTGGCTAGCGATTGCACGGGATGTTGAACACCGTATTCTCACTCATGATCTGGTGCGGATGCATAACCGACTGCCTTCAGCTAAGCGAGTACATTAAAACCAATGTGGCCAGCATCGAATGTCGAGGACTTACAGAGTAACTTATTTTGGGGATTTATTTACCGCTACATTATGGATGCACCACACATGGACGGTCAAAATTAGATTCCTGGTTTTATTAAAGTTATGAATGTCAACTCATACGGTTGGAAAACACAAATCGATAAAGTATCTAATGCTTGTTTAGTGCATTCAAGAACTATGTCGGATTTTTTGGAAGGATCACGTTTTTCTACCTGAGGTTTAACTTACAAAAACACGTTTAGTCAGTGTTATATGCAACAACCAATTGATGTTAGCGTCTTTCGATCTAAATAATAAAGGGTTTCAAGTGGTTTTTCTTCACTTCATGTATCCTGTTGATGTCCTTCGGGAATTTGTGTATACAGGATTCGTAAAGAAGAAATGTTCAAAACATTTTAGTATGAGGCTGAAAGCATTTCAACTATGACGTATTATTAGACCTTCCTCTGGAAAATTTTATCATTTTTTCGTTTTTTTCAAAAACAAAACATTTATTAGCAAAACAATAATGAGTTCTCACTGAACGTGACTGGATTAATATGGAGTGAATTCATTTCCCAAACGTCAATGACTGATTTGTTTATTCAAAGTGAATTAACTATAAAGCAAACACAATCGATTAAATTGCACGGAATGGATCCAATAGAAAAGAAGTACTACATGGTAAGTGAATGACGCATAAAAACTAGTTACAGATAAGTGACCAAGAGTAAACTGCAGATTGTCGATGCTTTGAATTTCGTTGTCAAGGAACACACTGAAAGCTGCATGACTAAATCATCTGACTCACAGAACACAAAATCCCTAACTGATAGCACAACAACGAAAACCACTGCGAGTCATCAACCAACTGATTGAAAATGTTAAGGGATTGAAACCCCATTTAGTTATGGAAAATAGTCAAGGTAGTATAACTTATCAGAATAAGAAGAGACAGGAACACAAAATGATTACTTCGTCTATATCTGTTACATCACATTAGATCTTAATACACCCACTCCTAACGTATGGCTTCCTGGTTTCTACAGCAAACGAAACTGTGAACGGAATATCAAACGTGATGTATTACCTTTTATTTTAGTTAAAGATAATATCGATAACTGTGAGAATTGTGTGGTCGGTTGTCACTTCTTGGTTGCCCACACAATAGAAGGACATTTCTTGAGAGACCTCAGAAGTAAATTGGGTTAGGGGTGGTTATGAAGACCTGGGAGCATGACCGAAGAACCTCAGAAACAACTGTTAATAAATCCATAAGGAGCAACTGCCTAAAGCCGGTCACAACCATTTTGTGCGAAGCTTTTTATGTGTTAGCTGCGTACTTTAAAAGCTCTTACAGTTAGAGATGAAAACCTGTGAGGTTAAGGTACGGCATGATACTTTCCGAAGCGACCTTTACTAATCTCCCTCCTTCAGTTGTGGTAAGGTAGCGTCGCTACGAATCTTGGTTATTTTAGGAAAACACTTTACTGTTTACATGTCTCCTTGCTATTTTTCCCTCTGACCTTAAACTGGCTTTGAGTCTTACTGTCCTCTAGTTGAGCTTTCTGGGCTGGTAGGGCTCAAAATAACAAGTATCCCAGCCAATATAGCACGACAAAGTCGACCACCACATCAAGGTAGGAGTTATCATCGAATTCTTTTGAGTTAACCCTATGAGAAACATGATGAAACAGTAATGGATAATATATACAATTTTTAGTACATTAAGATAGTGAAATATATGTACCAACGTATACTCCATACGCCCGACCTTGAGAGAGCGAACGAGATTAGACACGTGACATGTTCATACCCACTCAGCCTATCAGTCAGAACTATGGATGGACTACTAGATTTTAATTCAGCTCAAAGGTGTTATTCTCATGTCGAGACCTAAAGGCTTTGGATACACATAGTAGTGAGTAGAGTTTTAAGACAAAACAACAACCGTGATTTTCAAGTGTTTTTTAGTTGTTGAACATTTTTGAATAAGGCTTGGAAGTATTACATAGTTTATATTTGTCATTTTATCACTAATGCACATATATAATGGATTTTCTTTTCAATTTATAGAGACCTGTAATGAATATGAATACTTTACGTTATAATTCAATAATTTCAAACATAAACAATGCAATGTATGATATGATAGATAGAAATTGTAAGTTTTTCTTCTACAAAATAAACTACAAAACAGTTTATACATAAAACTTGTTAACAGTATAATACTGTTGAAATGAATCACATTTAACCTGATAAATATTGAGGAATGTTTATTATAAGAGGCTTTGAATAGTTTTATTTCAATCTCAGTTTAACTTAGCAAAAGTTAGTTAATAAATAGGTTCTAGAAAACACACAAGTTATGCTATTTATAGTATGGCTTCATAGAGATTAGTAAGATTTCAGCTAAACCAATTACCCACATCACTACAAATGTGAAGAAATTTGTTAGTCACATTAAGCTAATGAATAGAAGTGATCGTTATTCACCCATTAAATGAACTGAAACAGATTATAAATTAATGTTTCATTTGGATAATTCCACTTTACTGAGAAAGGATATATTCCATCTAAATATCATGGATTGGTTCGATGTGTTGTCACTTGCCTGAATGACTTGGCAACAGGTGCACTATGTCTGCAAGCTAGATGATTGGCGGTAGTCGGCAGGAAATGGAGAGCTGTTTTCATGCTAGTCAACATTCCTTAGCACGTTTTTCTGGTTATATCGGCAGAACTGACGTTTCCCGTATCTGCAATCGCAAAGAAACAGACGCTTTCTATGGGGAACGAGTGTCCGTCAATTTATGTCCAAGTTGAGAGCGCTATTATTGGAACATTGACACCGCGCCTGGGCACGACTGAGATGTCAACCAGTTCTTTAGTCAGAGAAGAGTAATCAATAACACATGCCTGTTAGTCGAATGAGATCGAACAAGTTACGTGGACCCTGATTTAAATCGCCAAATAGCGTGCAGTTTTGATACACCTAGATGACAAGTCCCAACTAATATAAAGCCTTAGTTCATCAATTCCTGTTGACTACTTCCAATTACATGGAACTCATCAAAATGTCTCGCGATGCCAATCCAATTAAACTAGAGACCGCGCATTAAAACTCGATCGATGGAATCTTTTGAGTGCTAAGGATTAGAGCGACATAAGATTAGGATTTATTACTCGGTGACATCAGCAAAATGTACTCCAAGTGAAAAACTTCAGTTTAACGAACTCTATTAGGCATATGCTTACATTCACAATAAATATGCCAAATCTGAGTACAGCTGTGCAACGGTTGTACATGAAACGTTTTTACATGAACAACGCAAAATTAAGAGATTGAGTAAAATCAAGAAAATTTTCATGTGAAAATCAATACATGGTTGAAAGGAAAAACCATACACTACTTCAAATGATAACATGGGCTGATGTCCTATGTGGGTTAAGTCATTCATACGTCTTGTCTCCAGCACAGGTCTAGGTAGATAGTAAATTTGGCTTACCTACCCCACCTCTAACTCGAATGTAGGCTTAACTACATAAGAGCACAGACTGCGAATGCTAGTGATGCCACTCAGTTACCCAGGATGAAGTAGGGTTTTAAATCTGGATTTATTAAAAGCTGAACGGAATCCTTAAATATCAAGACACTAGAGTGGCATACACACCGAAATCTTTTCAGTCTACCATCGAGTCAACAAAACTTTCACATATTTCAACTTTCAGTTAGCATATGCTGAACAAAATCAGCATTGACATTCAGTATTATCCATGCTAAAGTTTTGTGAACAACCCGAGCAGAACAATCAAACTAAAAGCACCAACTAAGTATCACTGTACATAGGATGTTGATTAAATAATGTACCCCTTCATCATATACTTGGAAATGAGCTGTACTCTAAGTGTCAAGGCTAATGATATCAATCGGTTACTCAGGTTGAAGTAGGGTTACAACTCGGGATTTAGTGAAAGAACGCCGAACGAACATCTCAACTATTAAGACACTACACCACATAATTCAGCATACCTAGTTTATTTCCTTCTCATGCTTATTTGTAGTGACCATTCATCTCGGAAAAACACAATATTATATGTCAACTAGCGAAACAGACGCCCAACCATCAGAATCATTTCATATTACATTGGTAATAAATCTTCCAGAGCAAGAACTATTGTATCCTTTTAATGTTTTAATCATTCATATATATATATATATATATATATATATTCATTTATTATTATCATCATGTAGAAGGTATTCAAAACAAGTGATGGAATGAGTTCACAAAACAATCTTAACTAATGATCATAACTTCATCAGGAGATGAAGAATTCATAGTTAACCAGCCATAATTTGTAACTGAAGACCCTAGATGACAGTTCAATATGACGCAGATGTATGGTTTCCGAGTAAGTGATGCTGACGTGAGACGCAGGATACCAGGCAGGGATAATAAGTAGAGTGATAAGATTGTGAAATTTCGTCCAATAAGGTGACTGCAACATGTGGTACACATCCCCAATAACCCCTCAACGTAAAATATTGGTCATCGTAAGAGTGAGTTGGAGAGAAACTAGTGGCAGATGAACTAAAGGGAGACATCAACTTCTTAAACCAATAACTGGTGATCTGAGCCACATTATTAGATCCAGACAATCTGACTAGTGTCCAACCGATTGTAGTGATCAATAGCTGAAGATGTTAGGTGACACGTGACAGAACGGGTCCAGATGAACTACCTCCTTTCTTCCTGTAGCTTTAAGAAATATGTCATTTTAAAGTCATTAATTATTACTTCCAACCATATACACAGATTCCTTTGTTAGGCATCTCGATGCAATACATACAAAAGGGGGTTGAAAATGTTGAATGAAATATAACACATTGTTAGTGTTCAGTATTGTCTGACTACAAATAAAGCTTAACTACCAAGGGATTCAAACTTAAGATCTTGTTTCCGACTTTTTATAAATGTACAGCGGTTCATCAAATATCAGATTGGACCTGTGTGTGCGCACTGCAACCACTATCAATTTATTTAATTCACATAGAATCTAACACGAATGGGCACCAAAACTAGGCATGTGCCACACAAATAATAATGGTCTGTGCTAGGATACTGGCCGGGTACCCGAACGGTGGTTTTCTTAGAGGATCACTCCCAAAGCCCTTGAACAGAAGTCCCTATCCACAACGCAGTGGAGCAAAGTCAGGGGATGGCGTCTCATAGCAGTCAGTGTCAAAAACAGGTTGGTGTGTCATTCGTTCCCAAGGGATCCCTGAGGCCCCCTTGGATAGACATTGGTCTGGAATCAGGATTCTCCAACTACCCTAGATGAACTCTCCGTCTTCACCAACCTGGTTAGTGTTAGACGTTTGTGTTTTACACTGACATTTGCGCAAATGACAGTTCGGAAGCGGGTAAGTAGTGAGTAGGACATCTTTAGTATGGGCAATAACGCAACGCCGAACGAGAGTAGACTTTCCTCATTCTCGACCGGACCACGGTGTTTGGCATGGCACAACAGAACAACATATTTTAAATAACAGTCTATCAATACGCTTCCTTAATTACGTTTTTCCTCCAAAACCTATGCGAAGTCAGATTTGAAACACCATTTATTCATAGATTAAAATGGGCATATATCTTTTACATTGGTATATGGATTATATTTTATTGGCCAATTCAATGGTTACAACGTTGGGTATTTGAAAAACGTCGATTGATGATTTGTGATAATTTCGTTGAATTTAAAAAACCGTCAGAGAATGTTTACTTAAGTCAATTGAAGAATGAATGGTGATGATGAATCGACACTTTTCTATGATACAAGTTCCCAATTTGAATAAAGGTGGACACTGTTTTCTATCCATCTCAAACTCATTGAAATACATTAATTATATGCTATAGAATATACAATATCTGAAGAATATGACCACATTGTTCTAAGTATGTGTACATAAATGTATATTTAACTATGGCTTTTTTATAAAGAAAACTATTTGACGAATTGACTTTGTTTTATATATTCACGGTAACCTGTCACTCAAGTGCAAAGTGGAACCTGATACATATGTGCACCAATTCAAGTTGTCATATCACACCGGTACATCAGTACAACAATACATACTCACTTATTACATAATGAAATAATGTATGACTTCAATAGAGTTTTGTTCTCTGGGCTGGACGCTTTGATCGTGGAGCTCTCATCGTTCTTCTAAACGACATCATCCATATGCGTTTCACAGCTCGTTCTGTACACCTCGACGTTGACTGTTTCGAACACTTCACTTCTATCTGAAGTTTGTGCTGATGATGTCGTTCAGAAGAACGATGAAAGCTCCACGATCAAACCATCCAGCTCAGAGAACAAAACTCCATCAAAATCATCCACCTAAGCTACAAATCTCCACCATCTCAATGTATGACTTCTTTGAAGATCAGTGGATGTGCATTGCTGAGGAGCTCCAATGATTGTCTCACTCTGATTGGTTCGTGAACTTAATGAAATTCAACAACCTCCACAACTTTATACTCACAATAAACGATCTCATTGACATATCTTACTTTCCTTTACAGTATTACTCTTATTGTTGAAGTAAACACAGGCACTTAATACTCTCAGTTATAACAAGCTACTAAACATTGTCAGTTTAGTGAGTTCATAGCAAGGTTTATTCAGCGTAAATTTGTTCATTTATTGTATCTGTTCTATTTATTATTGTGATGATAATAAGAATAAGAATAATAAAGTTATCAGTTACTGTATTTTTACATATCCTCTCTCAATCTTTTCAGCTTTTTTATCTAGTTCGTTTTAAGTATTAATTATACGGCTATTAATTTTTATTTCTTTCATTGTAGAATTCGCTTTAAGTAGAAATTCTGTATTGTTTAGATGTTGAAGATCGTTATGGAGTACACGTTGGTCGTTTCTTCTTTCTCTTCGCTGTTGTTGTTGCTTTCGTAGTCGTCTTTGTGGTAGAGGTTTTCTCTTCTGTATGATTCAATAAATGTGATAAACCAGCTGACCGTATCCCCTGTAATAATTGTTCACGTGCAAATTTTAACTCGGCTGATAAATGTTCTATTTCAGGTGCATTTAATAAAGCTGGAATCAGTGTAGATCGAAGCCAACGTGGACTGTTGTCCCCCATCCCCAACAACAAAGCAATAAATCAATAAAATAGTTAACTTTTGTATAAAGTGGTCACTTTATAATGTTATGGTTGTTTAGTCTTTAGTTTTGATGAAACTCTACTGATTAAGTTGAAATATGGTCAGCAGGCTAGTTATTGAACAATGCCGAATATCTAACATGATGGTTGACAGTTGGAGGTATTCGATGAGAAGCACTGGTTATTCAAATACAACGAGTCTTTCAAAACCTCAGGATATTACTACTTTTTTGAGGGGTTTGGACCGCATCATTTATAAACGTTACAGTTTCACCGTTTGACCCGCGAGTAAACCGCACGACCACAGCTGGTCACTGTGACACTGTAACTAACTTCGAGTCATGTTACCTGAAGTTTATAACCATCAATTAGGGAAATCTTAAGCATTCAAACTGGAAAGTCTGTATCTCGTAAAACGACTATGACCAAAATTTAACCATTTGATAAATTTATAGGATTTCTTGAATTAGCTACCCCTTATTTTTGTTTAAGCAATCTATTACATTCGAACGAAGGATGAGTGAATGGAAACTGCTACGGATTATTTATGGACTATTATTACATATATTCTTACTGGACAATTATTAAGTAAATAGATTGTATGTACATTCATATTCCTTTTGTTATAAGCCTTTAATTGACCTATTAGCCACTGTCATCCGATCTGCCATTCTTAATTTATTCCCAATTTATTAGTTATCATCTCCCGTACTCACATCCGGTTTTGGCTTGATCTTGTGTAATTATTTCTTCATTTCATCAGTATAAGGTTGTGAAGGGTGTTAAGCTTTGATTGAGACCATGAACCGATCAATGTTAGACCACCATCGACAACCTGGAAGCACTGGACAGACGTTTCGTCGTAGTATAGGACTTCTCGGAATAACGCATCCACGGTCCCGCACGCAGGATTCGAACCCATGACCTTCGGTCTCAGTTTATCGTCTGATGAGGTCTCGTCTTGTTTATTTATTTATTTTAACACATAGATATCGGTACAAGGAAGCACCAAATACATATGCGCCACACAGATCTCATTAGACATGTGTGAGGGCTGTGATACTGCCCGTGTGTCCAGATCGAAACAGGTGGTTTTTTTAGGGGGCCACACCCGGAGCCTTCGACCTGAAGGTCTGATCCACAAGGCAGTGGAGCATCGTAACGAGCTGCAGTCCCATGGTAGCCGGTGACCAACGATTGGTCCATACGCCATTTGTTCCTTCAGGACACTGGAGCTCATGTGCATCATTGGTTTGGAATAAGGGTTTTCCAACTCCCTAGTACTGAAGTCGTATGTCGTATTAGTCGTACTCAAGTAATAAACTTAACAATAACATATAAGTATTTCCCATTAAATTTCTACTTCCTAAAAGAGAAACACTATGCAAAGGTTGAAACAGATAACCAGTTTTCTAAAAGAATCACTGATGAGACAATAACTGGTATATGCTCGGTGAAAAAACGAAATATTATGAGACTAAATAAACTCATATCCTTGTATGAAATGTTTTTTCACTATCATTATAGTAACTGCTTCTATGAATTCGGTGTTCACCTTGTTGTGCTAATGAGGTATGGCAACTTGAACCGATGCATATATATGCCTGGTCCTACGTCGTAACTGACTGAGTGAACTAAGTAAACAAGTACACATCTGTTTAACTTTGTCACGCTTTTATAATGCAAGAACTACAGACACCAACTACAACGAGCTTAAACGAGATCGAGAGGTACTGTTAGAAGTGCAGGGGAACAGCTGACACTTCTCGGCTGCTCATACAGTGGAAAAGTACTTCTGTTTGAGTTATCTGACTTAGCTACCTGAGGTTGTGACCGCAGTGCTTGAGAGCAAACGCTTAAGATGGTTTATACAGTGTTTTTTATGAGTAGTTCTTGATGTGTTAGCTCTGACTTTCAAGGTCTTACGATCGAATACAGAGATCTATGGGGTAAGGTGAGGTGTGATATTTCGAGGGTTGATTTTCTCTAAACCTCTCCTCCAACTGTAAGAAGACAGCATCACTATAGACACTGTTCGTCTGAGAAAACTGTTTTATTGCCATCACACCCCAGTATAATTAGCAGTACGACTTTACCTTCGGACTTTAAGCAGCTTTTTCTAGTATTATCACATTCCAATCAACCAGACTGGAATAGTAGGATACAAAGGAACAAGTATTCTAGCCAATATAGTTCAGTCAAATCTCAACAATAGTTAAACCAGACCAAGGCTTCAATGTGGCAGCTACAATCGAACTAAACTCAAGTAGATAAGATGTGGTTAAAGTCTGTAACCTTACGAATGAAAGTTGAGTTTTGATTTGAGTAGAATGAGATTCTCTACACATGCTTGGAAACGAGAAAGTTATTTACAAAAAGTAAAAAGGTTCTCTGTTTTGATTGATCGATATGAAAAGTCGTACTACCCAATTAATCGAAATACACAGTCGGCGAAACCATCGAAATATTTTAGTATAAAGGATAAAACATAGAATTCGGTTGCAAGAACTTACCGAAACAGATTTACTTCATTCCATTCGGACGGTAATCGACATTTAGAAATATCACCACTACAATAATCAACAGTACGTTGTGTCGCGATTTCATTTAGCCAATTTAGAACATCACTCCATCCTGGAGTAGTATAAGCATCTGAACAATCAGAGATTTTTTTATCCGTTATGACCATTTTTGTTGCACAACAGTGTTCCTGGAAGAAATTTCAAAAAATCTTATTTATTGATTTTAGTTACCGCAATGCAGCAATATATAGATACACATCAAAAATTACTGATAATGATTGAGGGCAGTTGGTAGGAAACCCTGAACACATGCTTCATGTTAGTCGGCACCAATTATAAAGGGGTAAGTGAGATGTTGAAAGAAATGATCCACCCAGTGGAATTCAAACCCGCGCCACTAAGCCTCATCGAAACTTAAGGAATGAAAAAATACACATGTGGAGCTTGTAGGCTTGAGCATTATCTGATACTTAACATGATCGATCATTTGTAACTTTAACGAAGAACATACTCTGTATAAGCATCTTTGATCAATAAGCTTTTATCAGAACTAAAAACTAAACAATTTAATCTTGATTAACAAATGATGTGTAATCTGTGCAACGATTGTTTACTACAGGCCTGATCATCCTTAATGGGTTGCTGTCTGACGAAATATCAGCACAGATTCAAAAAGGTCGTTTGGCTTTTGCCAACATACGTCACCTATGGCGAAGGCAGGATATCCGTCTATCAATTAAAGGACAAGTATACTGCGCGGTATAGCAACCTGGACCAATGCATATATGTGCCTGGTCCCACGTTGTAGCTGACTGACTGACAAGCATTTGATAAGGATTGAAATAAAGACAGACAAATAACCAATCGTAACTGTCATTGAAATCCCGAGGTTTAGTTTAGTAAAACATAATATAGGATAGGTCTAGTACATTTGAAAGGATAAGTGCCAACGTGATTAACATACATAATCATTGTATCATCTAACCAAGAAGTATTCGATCTTACCCTTAATTCAGCTAACCGTCCTTGTGCAATTTCACAATAATCATTCCATCGATTTATACAAGATTCTATGTAGGTATTATGATTATGATTATTAC